GACACTTGTTTTTTTTTTCAAATTGGAAACACCCAACTTGTTAACAGTTTATGTTTTAGACAATGAAAGAGTATGTTTCTCCATGACTGGAAACAGAGTTGAAATATGGCACATTTCATCTCCCACATCCTCTTTCTCCTGTCTCCCTCATGCCAAAATTGATAATTATGAAAATTCCGTGGCAGAGTTTTAGATATTTATCCCTTAGGAGTCAGACATATTCTCTTAGGGAGAGCTGAATTCTAATGGCGGAAAGACTGGCCAAAAATACAGTCATGAAACATTTTTGTGGCCTCAGTATCATGATCTTGTCAGTAAAGCGATGGTCTCTGATTAGATCCAGATTGAGCTGTTTCCTGTTAGCGTGCTAACCCAGAGGGCAGGCTCAGCCCTCCACATCTTGCCTCGAAGTCTGGGTTATTAAACACTTGTCTGCCAAGCCCCTCCCCCCCCTTCACTTTTCTTTTAAACTAGAATTCAAAGGTATTGAGATATTACAAACAAAAAGATCCTAAAGTCTTAAAAGGGTTATGTAGCTCTAAAGTCTCTTAAAAGGTTATGAATATTTTGCTGCAAAAATGAAACCAAAATTTTAGTTTCTCCAGTTTGACCATAAGGCAGAGCATATATTTTCTTTTGTGTTTCACTTTTGTATGATTTTATTTTAAAATAATTTCAGTAATGAGCGGATAGATCATTTTTAAGTTTTTGCCCTCCATTTTGAAAATGTACTTTATTTGAATGTTGGTAAATTAGGACCCATCTTCAAACACCTCATCTTCCCCTTGATGTAGCAAGTAAATATTAGGGTGCTGAGCAGATGTGCAAAAGGTGACATTGGGCAAGTGCCCTGATGCCCTAACGTGCATTGTTAATTTGGGGGAGAGTAAGTTTAGGCACTAGAGCAATTCCTGTACTTCGCTTCATACATTGTCATTGATGCTCACTCATCGCCCTTAGAGAAGGATTTAAAAAATCTATATCTTTTTATTGATTTCAGAGAGGAAGGGAGAGATAGAAACATCAATGATGAGAGAGAATCATTGATTGGCTGCCTCCTGCACGCTCCCTCCAGGGGATGGAGTCTGCAACCTGGGCATGTGCCTTGACCAGGAATCTGATTCATATGTTGACATTCAACCACTGAGCACACCAGCCGGGCTAGAGAAGGATTTTTAAAATCAAAATTTTCGAAGTATTTGATTAGCCATCCTGTTAGCCCAAACAGGGTTCTTCCTAATTTACAGATGCAAACACTGAGGAGCAAAAACCTTTAAAGGGACTTAAGGGGATCCAGCATGCGCATTGACATATTTTTTCAGAGGAAAAGGCGGACTGAAAGGAAGCGACTGGGTTAATGAGCGCCATGATTTCATTCCCAAGGGAGAACGTGGCTTCCTGCCAAGTTCGCTTTCTGGCAGGAGAAGGGACCCACTTCATCAGGTCCTCTGACAAGCATTTTTCTCTGGGTTTGAGTTTTTGGCCACATCAATGCTCAGTGAAAAATTTGTTCTGTTAAATAGTTATTACTTTCAATAAGGAAGGATTTAGTTTTAAATTGGAATTTGCGTTGTGAGTCAAATAAGAATCATCAAATTACAGAGCTGTTTGGTAAGGGAAGCCTGACATTGTCACAAGGTAAGGAAGCGTGATGTAGAATTAAAGCGTGAATATTCCCGCCGACTGAGCTCTTCCTTTTCTTGTTGTTAACATCTGACACTGAAGTGTATTCTTTGACTGTCACTTTTTAGTATTATCAGGCTGGTAAGTATTTTGACCAGGTCTTTCAAAATGACTAAGTAAAACATGCAAAATATCCCTAAATTTTGGTATTAAGAGAGGTCAAAGAACTATAGATGTTTTTATAGAAGATAAAAGTTAACGTTATATTTGGTCTTCATTTTTCTCATTTTTAAATGAGAAGTGACAAATGTGAATTAAGTTTTAAATGCATCCCAGTGACTTACTAAGCTAACATTTTCCCTAACTTGGTTCATTCTAACATTCTACAAGATGCTGTGAGAATAACGGGAAGTTCACTTGTAAATGTGTGTCATATACCTTATCCTTCTCTTGGAGTTTTATAACGTATTAGCATATGAAAGACATTAAGAGATTCTAAAATAAAGCCATGTACTTGACTTTAACTCTACAGCTCCCAGACTTGACCTCAGCCCCTTTGGATTTGGAATGAATATTTTATAGTATACACATAGGGCACCACTGTACCAAGTAGTTAAAAATGTAATTAGTCTTTGAAACCTATATCTTTCTCATTTATTGCTTCTGGATAAAGTTAATCGATGCTCCTGGGAGACAGATAGGAAATATTAGGCCTGCTCTGAAAGTATACACAGAGTAATCAAGAACAGTTACTAGGCCATGATCTAAGTCACAGGCCTAAGGAAACATTTGGTATTTTGCTTGAATCAGACCCCCCTTTTTAGTATCTTCCAAAATTAAATACAGAAATAGTCACCAGTCCATAAGCTGGAGTGCTCATATTAATCCCTGTTGGCAGTTAGACATGGTGACACTTAGCTATTCTAATGCCTCGGGCAGAGATGGCCGCCACTTTGGTTTTACAGAAAGCAATGTCGCCTGCTAGCTTCCTTCCAGTGCTTTAGCTTCTGACAGGCCAGATGAAGAAAAAGCAAGCATGCTACATAGTAAGCACATGTCACTACTTAGAGATTCAGTTTTCCATCTTTAATTTTCACATGTCTGATTATTTCAATTGAGAAGAATTTGATATAAAACCATTCAAACTTACAATTCAGAGAAATTGGCTCGTGAGTCTTTGCATCACTTGGAATGATTACCTGCTTTAGAAACAGATTCTTGGGTAGGTCATCTTCCCCAGCACCTGTGAAGGACAAGTTAAGCTTTGAATACTGCATCTCTGTAAACTTTGATAAGCACAGATTTACTGCAGAATGTAAGGCATATCTGTATTGTTCTTTAACCTAATTCTCTTCCTTCATACTCAGGTTTTAAGCTGTACAGATTTTATCACTAATCACTTCTTAGTATTATGGTTTATGTCTCCAAGGTGCAGTTATACCTACCAATACCATTCACAGTTTCATTTTCATGTGACAGTTACTTCTCATGAACAGATTTATTCTCTTGTGCAATGCAAGTCTCCAGAAGGAAGGGGTCATGCTCCCCACCCTTTTCATTACTCCCCAGAGATCAGCCTAGGGCTGCTTGGTATGGCCACTTCTTAGTCAACTGTGTTGATTGCTGATGATATTAAATCAGAAAGCATATTGCCTTCCATGGACTGAAGAACATCAGATCATGGTCAGACCTCCATAGGTTTCCATGGAGAATGTATACCTACCATGGCTGATTTCTCAAGTTACCAGTATGATGTCAACTGGCTTACAATTTAGCAATCAGCTGCCCCAAGCCAGTGTGAGTTGGCTCCAGCTCACCACTGTGGGTGCTGTCTTTAAGAAGGAGATTGAACAGCCTTATAGAGACAGAGAACAAACTGACTGAGGAGGCCAAAGGGAAGGGATTTGGAGGTGGTGAAATAAGATAATAGGATTAAGAAGTATTGATTGGTAGTTACAAAATAGGATGGGGATTTAAGGTAAAGCACAGGGAATATAGTTAATAATCCTATATAATAAAAGGGTAATATGCAAATAGATCAAACGGCAGAACAACCAATCAAAGGGTAATATGTTAATGATATGTTAAGGCTGCTCAACCGCTCGCTATGATGTGCACTGACCACCAGGGGGCAGATGTTCCGACCAGTAGGTTAGCTTGCTGCTGGGGTCCAGCCGGTCCGGACGGAGGAGATGGGCTGGACATGCCCTGGAGCCCTCCCACGGTCCCTCCCTGGCCCAATCATGCACTGGTGGGGTCCCTCAGCCTGGCCTGCGCCCTCTCGCAATCCGGGACACATGGGGGGATTTTGGAGAGCCGGTTTCAGCCCGATCCTGCAGGCCACTCCCCTTGGGAAAGCACCAGATGCAGGGCTCATGGCTGGAGAGCGCTGCTGCGGCAGCAGGAGCCTCTCCCGATTGGGACTGATTGGGCACAAGCCTGCGGCAGGCACAGGGGCCAGGATGAGCAGGAGTGGACTGTGGGTTTTGGCTTGATCTGTGCAGGCCAACCAGAGGGACCCCACCTGTGCATGAATTCGTGCACCGGTTGGACTGTGGGTTTTGGCTTGATCCATGCAGGCCAAGCAGAGGGACCCCATCCGTGCATGAATTCGTGCACCAGGCCTCTAGTATTGTAATAACTATGTATGGTGCCAGGTGGTCACTTGCATTGTTGGAGGGAACACTTTGTACACATGAAACGAATACAAAATAGCATTGAATGCAAACTGCAATAAAAAATTTTTTTATAGCCCAGCCAGCGTGGCTCAGTGGTTGAGCGTCAACCTATGAACTAGGAGGTCATGGTTTGATTCCTGGTCAGGGCACATGCCCAGGTTGCTGGCTCTATTCTCATTGTGGGGCATGCAGGAGGCAGCCAATCAATGATTCTCTCTCATCATTCATGTTTCTATCTCTCTCTCCCTCTCCTTTCCTCTCTGAAATCAATAGAAATATATTAATTTTTCTTTTCAAAGGATGAGTTTGAAAACTTACCATGGAACAATACAAAGGAGATGATTGATACCATTTGCTAAACTTGCTCCTGGGGTTATTGAGAACATCCTTGATAAAATATGTCAGTAACCTAGTTCTTGATAGGATAGGATAGCAAATAGAAGCAAATGTAACCATGATGAAGTAATACCTCTACTTCTAGAGAGGAAGGGAACACACACCACCAACACCAATACCAACACCAACACCAACCCCCTACTCCACTGCACCCACAGGTGAGGGATGGCCTTTCATGGCTTGTAGGGAAATTAAATCAGAGCAAGGGAAAGCATGACTGTCTCTGATTCAGCGATTTCAGTGTTTTCAGTTTTCCTTTGCAGTGTTATTTCTCCAACTCACAACCCTGCATTTATTGTACAGGTGGAAGGGGACCAGCTCCCTCCAGGACATACTGTCAGCCAGTATGAGACCTGTAAGATCAGAACTATAAAAGCCGGCACCTTGGAGAAGCTGGTGGAGAACCTGCTGACAGCTTTTGGGGACAATGACTTCACCTATATCAGCATCTTCCTGTCAACGTACAGAGGCTTTGCCTCCACCAAAGAAGTGTTGGAACTACTGCTGGACAGGTAAGAATCGGAAGGCGGGTGAGAGGTGAGGGAAATGTAGGACTGTGCAGAGCGAGGGATGAGTTTTGAATCACCTGCAGTTGGTGCTGAGTGACATGTATGAGAAAGGATTAACTGGAAGGGGTGGAGCAAATGGCATGGAGATTATTCAGGAGCCACTTTACGGTCTATTTCTGATGAAGATATCTCATAAAAAATCTATGAGTTAGGAGTACATGCTGTGAATCTAGCCTTGATTGTTTATAGAGTTCACTTACTATTTGGCACCCTAAAATTTTGTCCATGTTTTTATAATTTCATATAATTCCAGTAAGTAACTGGAAGTTTTATTGGGTTTTGAGATTTAAATATGCTAATATGTGTGAAGTATGGAGCTCAGTGTTAAATCTATAGGAAGCAGCTCATGAATGGTGGCTGTAAAAATGATGATGATAATAACTTCCAACAACCACTGTGCATTGGCTGCTTTATGGACATGCACGTAAATGTCATCCCTGATTTATGTTAAGTCACACGTCACATATAGTAGAGCAGTGTACATTGTAACTCACACACCGATGATTGTATTTCCCCCTTTATTTCTAATTAAACTTTGTCTTTTAAAAAATAAGCCAGACAATTGTTTTAGAATCATGAGAGTTCTCATCCAGACCCTTATATTCTAGAGTTTCCTGTATCAGAAAGGAAATGAGATAGGATGTTTTTGTTGGAGTTGTTGAATACTGATTTTTAACTAGGTTTAAAAAGTTGACAATAATATGTCCTCATGTTAAACATTCTTATACTGTAGGAAGGTATAAAAAACACACACAAATATTTCCTCGTGGCTACCTTTTCCCAAATAACTTCCATCGCTTTTGTATTCTTCCCAAATTTTGGAGCGGTGTATGTACATTTATAGATATGTACATTTATATAGATATGTGTCATGCATGTGATATTACATATAGATTATACACTTAAATATGATATAAATAGAATCACAATACTCAGTCTGCTTTGAAATATTTTTTCCACTATTGTATCTTGGAGATTTATTTGTTCATTAAGGGAATTAACATATGTAAAGGGCTTATTGAAACAGGGCTAACATTTTGAAAGCTCAAATAAACTGTTGTTATTTCAAAATCAGCACATGTAGGTAGGTTTACCATATTCTTTTTATTGAATTGACTTTTCTATGGATAGACAGTTAAGCTCTCTCCAGTTTTTAATTTTTTTAAAAAAAATTTTTAAACAATACTGTAAAGAGTGTCTTTGAATATATATCTTCCGAGTATCTGTTTGAGAATTCCATAGGATAAGTTCATGGAAGAGTGATTGATAGGTCAGAATGTTTTAGCACTTGAAAATGTGAAAGGTATTACTAGATTGCCCTCCAGACGGCTGCACGAGCCACACTCCTGCCCACAGAGGAGGGTGCCCTTCCCTTGCTTTCCCCACACCCTTGCCAACTCTGCCATCAAAACTGTCTCTATCATGATCTGTCCACTGACAAATAACTCATTGTTTTTAAATGTATGTTTCTTATACTTATGAGTGAGGTTTAGCATCCTTTAAAATGCTTAATGGGGCCTTTGTGTTTTCTGTGAACTGTCTTTGCATATTCTTTACTTATTTTTATTTTGGACTCTTGTCATCTAATTATTGATCGGCTAATTACAACTATTTGTATATTAACAAAATTGGTGCTTTGTTTATCATATGTTGGAAATATTTTTCCTAATTTGTCCCTTGGGTTCAAAAGTTATTTATTCATATTCTTTTTATGAAGACATTTAAATATTTTTCTGCAATTATATCTATCAGTCTTAGGAAAGGCCTTTTAATAATCAAGTTCTATTCCAATGGAAATAAGATTATTGATAACAGTGGGCTTTTCTCAAGATATTTTCCTCATAGATGCATACAGAGTGAAATCATTAGGATCGTATGTTCTGTGTATTCAGGAGCCTTCACAAGATCTCTCTCCTTATCATGCATTGATCTGGTTATGGTAACTCTGGACTTAGAAAGTCCTGTAGATTTTTGCATAGCAGTAACTTCAAATACTAAGCCTGCAGTGTAAACCTGTGGGATTAGTGAGTCATTTTTTTCATAGTTTGTTTGCTTGTATAATACCTCTCACCTATAAATAGAACCTGAAGAATTATGTGAGTTTTCTCTTTGCTATTCTATTTTTAAAAAAAGGCTGCAGTATGCTAACTGTTGGCAGGCAGTAGGAGGAAATAGGTCAACCCCTCAGAACTCCTGCAAGAGTTTCTTGGAATGGGTGACCTCTTCTACTTCTGGGGTATCTCCATTGATTCGAGACTACAGATGGCCACAGTCAGCAAGGGCGCGCGCGTGAATTCCAGCTGCTCACCACAAACAGTGGACAGACACACAGGAACTAGAGTGTTTAGTCTATGACTCGTGGACATCCAGCTTTTATTTGATGATTTTAAAAAATCTTTTCTTTGTTCTCCTATTGTAGACATTTTTGGATTTTTAAAATATTAACTAGATGACAATGATTAAATAACGGAATCAATATGAATTCAAATTCCATGTAATTCAAACAGTCATTTAAGGTATAACTGAATGAAGAGTTAAGGTTTATCTTGAACCATTTGGATGGGCCAGGGCCTGGCCTTGAATTTAATCTCATAGTATGTTTTTCCTTGCGTCTGAGGTGAGTGGAATCATCACGTACCGAATGCCTGTGAAATGCCCAGGGCTGCAGGACACCATGGGTGAAACGGATATATAAGGCGTGGTTGGTTCTCACCCTGGTGGTGAATTTGCTGAGAAGCTGCATGTACTTACTCTCCAAAGACCCTCAGCTGCAACCCTCTCTACATAACTTATATTCATAATTTTGTATTCTTTTTCTTCGAGAGGACCCCTCAGATTACATATGCTGACCCTGCAAAACCTGGATCCACCCTGAGAACTTAATATTTTACTGCAGAAGATAAAGTTTACATTTATGAAACAAGTAGACAACCACTTAAGATGGTATAAAAATCACCCTAGCCCAGCCGTGGGCAAACTACGGCCCTTGGGCCGGATCCGGCCCGTTTGAAATGAATAAAACTAAAAAAAAAAAAAGACCGTACCCTTTTATGTAATGATGTTTACTTTGAATTTATATTAGTTCACACAAACACTCCATCCATGCTTTTGTTCCGGCCCTCCGGTCCAGTTTAAGAACCCATTGTGGCCCTCGAGTCAAAAAGTTTGCCCACCCCTGTAACTAGACCACTAATAGCAGGGCCACACAACTCTCTCAGGGCACAGAGAGAAAGCTAAGGCCCAGAGATGGGATGTGAGTTCCTTATAGATGCATCACTAGTTAAGGCATCTTTACTGCTAATAAAAACAGGACTAAGGAGACGGTGGGACTGGGCTATGTAGAAATTTATCTCTCTCTCCCTCTTCCTTCCTCTCTGAAATCAATAAAAATATATTTAAAAAAAAAGCTTTATATAAAAAAAGATGGTATAAAAATGAAACTAACATGCTCTGAAGAAGTTCAGAGAAATAAACCCCATTTATTTTGCTTCCTCTGCAGAAATTTGGAGTTGTCCAGATATGTACAAACTTTAACATGAGTATTTCTTCCTCACTCCATTTCCTACTCACATGTAGATCTTGTGACCAGATATTAATCTTTGTTTCATTTTAATCGAAATTCAGATTCTGTACAACACTGGGTTCTTAAATTTATTTTGGGGATTTTAATGTCTATAATTGGGAGGTAAGCAATTAAGTTGCATGAGCTTACCTTTTCTGAGTGTTTTTATTTATTTTAGAGAGAGAGGAAAGGAGAGGTGGGGGAGAGAGAGAAACATTGATCAGCTGCCTCACCCCCTACAAGGCATGTGCCCTGACCAGAAATGCAACCGGTGACCTTTCGGTCCATGGGACATTCAACCAACTGAGCCACTCCAGCCAGGCTATATACTATTTTCTTGTTAGGAAATTATAGTAGACTTGTTTGTGAGTCTCTGGTGTAATTTTAAAAATAATTTCTCTTGGTTTCATAATAATATATTGCTTATCTTTTGTGAAATTGACACTGAAAAGCTATTGTAGAATGTGCTAATCCTAACCAGCCAAAAATGGATTGAAGGCAGATGCTGCAGTATTTATTTACCTCCAGAGAAAAGCTTATTTGAAGTCAAGCTTTGATTTTCCTTAAGACTTCCAATCACATGGCTTTTCTTTTATGGAACTGTTTGCTTTCTGTGATTAAAAAAAAAAACTTTTTATAATTTTTTTTTATTCTGTTAATATGAACCTTTGTGTTTGACCAGTAGACAGTGGTTTAAAGTCCCTCAGGGCTAATTCCATGTGTCTGCGTTACCCTGTACTTGGGGTGATCAGCAATTCACAAGGAATCCTGCTTTCTGTGCTTCTCACCATGGCTCAGAGTTAATTCTAGGGCTCACTGGCTTCCTTTCAGTCTGAGAGAAAGTTTTTGAATTGTGGTTTAGTTGTTTGTATTGGGGCTTTGAGATTTTATCTTCTCTAACTTTAAACATACATTCCACTTAAAAATATATTCTTCCCACCACACCATTAAAAAAATGTAAGGGAGAAAGTTTCCTCTGAAAATACCCAATGTCAAGTGTAGGGAGAAACCTAACTCAGCTAGGGATCCTCACTGAGAGCCAAGAAGTGTTTGTACAGACATCTAGGTTTTTCTTCAGACAGCGGTCACATGAGCTACTTTTGGGATATTTATTGATCATTCTCTTTTTCTGCATCTCTCATAGCAGAAGTAAGCAAGATGCTAAGAGCAGGCAGAACAGGGGTGAACGAGGTCCCCAGAAACTTCTGCTAAGTCACTGACGGCACTCAGGCCGCAGCTTGGAAAGGACTGAGCAGGAACCTGAGTTAGCCCGTCATTTCAAGTGCATTCTCCAACGGAGGACTTCCGGAGGGGACTAAGGTTGCAGCCACCCGTTAACATGACGCTTTAAGGCCAGTGTGGCTTGAATTTGCTTACTTAG